ATTGTATTTGTATCGACTAATTATCAGAATGTTTTTTTCAGTATTTCTATTTACCTCTTCTATTTTTTGTTTCCCTAATAAAAATATTATCTGTCTTGATTTGCTGTAGATTCAAGCGATTCGACAATAAATTCATCCGACCTTATCTCGTGAAAGATCATTGCGGCGCCGAGCCGAAGATTCTGGAAACTTACTCGAAGCTGGCGATGAAGGATGCGTTAGATTACATAAGAAGAAATGCCTCCACTATTGGCAACATTAGCGGCACCGAAAGTATGTCGGCGATATTCCGTAATTACAGCAATACCGGACAGTTCAATGGAAGGTGCGGAATTCCTGTTGTTCGTCAACAATTGTCGTTGATAAAATAAAAGCGCAAGAATGCTAATCGCATTCTTTTTCTCTCTAGTCCCAGCTGCAGCCAGCTCGAAACGGGATGGAATATCGATCTGCAGGAACTGGAGTACAATCCTTCCAAAAAAGACCTAACGGACGCGAGAATACACCATCTGCTCGCCGAAGAGCTTTGTAAACCATACAAAAGGGTAAGAGATTATGATCGAGTCTAGATTTTCTCCAAATTCAAAGTCTGCTCGTGATATATGCTCTTTAACATAATATATTGTGTGTAATAAAGTAATAATCCCTCTATTATTAAATTTTTTAACTATATTTTTTCTGACAAATTTTAAATCAATTTATCTCCAGAAAAAATATAATTTCTTGTAAATGTTTTACTTTTACTTTAAAATATCCTGATATTCTTTTTAAATATCATCCATTTGCAGATCTCTTCTAATTTCCAAATCGATATTTTAGTATTTACTTCTTTCGTCAAAGAGGATTTATTTTAAATTCATCAAAGAAGCTGTAATTAGAAAATATATCAGCATATTTTAATAATATTCTATTATATTTAAAAATATTGCGTCTAAAAATTTTCTACAAGCGTCATATATTATTTAGCATCGACGTTTGAGCTACAGTCGACACGCGGTGAATGATCGCGATCTTTCGACACAAGTCAATTACAAAATGCACATGAATATTCGACGGATGATGGGAGAGCACAAACATCGCCATAAACGCAGCAAAAAGTTACTCAAAGTAAGAATCGATCAGCGTCTCGATCGTTTGTCATATTTAATTTCGACGTCTTCGACTTTCCATTTTATCGATTTCAATTGTATAGGATGGCAAACAGAATCACGTTAGTTTCCCAGAATTTCAACAGCAGAACGGCTCGACAAAGCTATTTACGCAAGGTACGTGCAAATTAATTGTACTTCGAAGTTCCGTAATTTTTTCTTTCTTTTTTTTTCTCATGAATTATCGTGCACAGATTACATCAATGGCGTGCTGTATGAGTTAGAAAACGGAGAAACCTCGAAGCCCTCCAGCAAAGAGGATTGGGATTCAGCGATCACGTTCACCGCGCGAACGTCCGGTAAGAAAACTTTTCTTTAACTTACTAAATCGAATTGAACTGAAAAATGAGATTGAAGTTAAAAATATAGGTATATCGACGAAATGCGACGATGAAAACGATCAGGATGTCTTGATTTCTCTTATCTATATAGCGAAGATTACAATTTATGTACATGTAGATTGTAGTTATTGAATTATCTTCTTGAAAAGAGTCATGACTAATAGAGCTTAAAATCTTTAAACGGAAGATTCGCCGAATGTAAACGCGGACAATCAACACGCTACCACCGCTACTACGTCGATGGACACAATAAATACGGACGAAGGAGACTTGAAAATAGGACGCGACGGTACGTTTTCAAAATGAGAAAAAGAAAGAGTTCGAGCATTGGTTTTATGTTATTGCGAATCGTTCTTTTCCTTTTTTGCGTACTTTTTTTTTCTATTTTTCAGCATTAACCAAACCAGGCGTTGATCTTGTATTGCTGTGATTTTTCTCTTTTGCATCTTTTTTATATTGGTGATCATGATTTTTCGAGCGTTTGTTATTTTTTTTTTTTTTTTTAGGATTTAAAAATCGATATAATTTCGGTGGACTTCGGACTTTTCGTGTTTATGACATCGAAAATTGCATCCGCCGAAATCATAACGGTTTCAATTTCCATTTCATACTCCCGTTACTATTGTCTTGTGCGATATTTGACCTAGGTGCGGAAGGCTACAGAGTAACCACCCCTACGGCTACGGAAACTATGTTACCGTGGAAACGTGAGGACGATTACGAATCGGGTCATCCGATCAAGCAGCACGAATTTCCAGCCTGGTGCTCCAATAAAGAATATCTCGCCTACAGTTCGCCCTCCGCCACTTTCTTAGGTAAAAAAGAAAAAAGGGGGAAAAAAAACAAGATAATTCAATTCAGCTGTCAAATATTAATGTACCGTAAAAAAGTTTTTTCGATTTTTTTTTTTTTTCATAAAAGAGTAACGAATATGAAAACCAATAGACCGTCACGATAGCTGTAAGTCAGTTTTCCTCTAAGAAGATTAACAACTCTCTGAAAACTTTCAGCTCGTGAAATCGCTCACCGCCTGCCTATTTATTCCCAGCGGTACTTCTACATGCCCGATATGTCTTTCCGCTTTTCAGGTGGGATCGAACAGCCGAAAGTCCAATCCGTGATTGGCCTATTTCGACGCGAGAGCGTGTGCACGCCCGACAGTATCGATTGCCAAGAGACCGTCGACGAGGTGGACGAGACGGACGAGTACACCCCCGCGGAAATGGATTCCCCCGCGAAAACCAAGGGTACGTGACGCATAGCAGAAGGAGGGTACGTGTGGTTCATTTTTATTTCTTTTCCTTTTCTTCCCTCCCTCCCCCCCTTCTCTCTTTTTTCATGCCTGCCGAGTCGGATTATTCAATTTCCATTCTACATCCCCCTTTCATTCCCTTCCATCGTTTTCAATGCATAGAGGAAGTTTCGAATACTTAGCGAAATATATCACGAAAAAAAAAATTCGCATATTTTAAAGTTCTGAAATAATAATATTTCAAAATGACTCAATGATATATAACGACTATAAATTATTACGCTTTAAGCGGGAAATATTCGAAATAATACGCGAAAGATGCGAAACGTTGAGAAGCATTGAAGTATGCTATTTTTTAATGCGTTGTGACGAGCGTCACTCATGTTGCGTTACATGTTCGTAGCTATTTTTGTGAGCAATTGCAAAATGAGCATCGACATGCCAGTGCCCACACGTGCTAACCGTCGTTTCGCTATGGAAGAAATATTGTTTCGTGAACGAATTGCATGCATAAATTATAATCTTTATTCTGAAATTCTAATTCCTTTATCATAAATTCATACAGTTTTAGCTCTGTTTATTAATATTGTCATATAACAAAAGTGATTGAAATCATAAACTTATTAATTTTTTACCTATTATTCCATTGTTGTTATTATTACATTGTTGTTAATCATTTTTCACTTTTTATATTTTTATCATTAAGACATTGGTGTTTGCTGTCATATTCGCAATAGCGTTTGTGGCGGAAAAACCGGTTTCCAATAAATATATTTAGTATCTGCTTAAATTCAAGATACATTAATCTATCAATGTATCAATTTTATTATCCTATTTCGTTTATCAAATGTATGTACGTGTAAATTAAAATTTTTCAAATAAAATATTTTCTAAATCTAAAATATCGGTTATAGTAGAAAGAGAATATGCTTTGAGAACAGATATAAAAGAAGATAAAAAAGTTTTTTTTATCGTGCGCGTGGAACTAATTACGATAAGGAATATTCTAGTCAAGCGCAAAAAAGTAGCTTTTGAAAAACATTTTTAAAGGAAATTGTACACATTTTTCTGCACTTTTATTATCCACTTGTATGTATTTAAATATTCTATAAATTTTTATATGGCTAAATGTGTATTAGTTTTTAAATTACGTAAATTTAAACACAAAATATAAAAAAATATATCGGCGGTTGACATTTTACTTTCCAACTTAATTGAAACAAAAAATTCAAAACGATTTTTAGTTATTATTATATGAGTGTGGCTATAATCTGAACTAAAATAAATGGAAAATATTCCCAATTGTTAAAATAATGCGATTTGAAAAACAAGTATATCGATTTTTAACTCAACTTTTCAATTTAACGAATATGAAAAAATAATCAATTTACAGATATTGCAATAATCTTAATTTATGCGATAGACATATATTTTATATATATATACATATATATAT